AAATACTCTAAAACTTATAAAACAAACAACAAATATTTTGATTAAACTTATTATTAATCATCCAAATACAATTTTTTTTACTAAAAAAAAGAAAAACGGACAAACAGACGGGTTAAACAAGAAATACAAAATACACAAAACAGTTCTTAGTACCAAGACTGACAAAATAGTTTACCACTTACAAATTTTCAAATTCAAACCTCATTAAAAACTACGTCGACTCTCACCTTATTTCTGTCCAGTTTTCCAGTCACGACGTCTTCCAAAGGGATGGGCGGGGAGGCGGTGTAGGCTGGGACGCCCTGGGCGGCCACCACCAGCGTCTTGGCACCCCGGGCGTCTTGTGGGCGGGGCAGAGACAGCCGCCCAGCTAGATGCTGAGGGATGATCGGGAACATTGGGAAAACCGTCATAAACCTCTGCAAACCTCACACAGTAAAAAACCAACACCACTTTGTGAACTTTGAAACTAAAATAAAACTTGAGTTCAAACCACTGCAACGACCTGTTCGCTGCCGACCCCAAAGCAAAGTGCGCCTCCATCATTGACAACTCATTATATATTAGTTTGTGCTATCAGGGGGAGGGGCGCCCCATGATCCACCTTGCAGGGGGAGGCTGGACCCTCGCGGATTTAATAAATATAAGTTGGTCTTTAAGCGAGCTAATTGATACGTCATGGTCGGGCAGGTTCGGGCCACGTGCAGTTTTGTGGTTTGTGGTTCGAAGTGTGGTTTTGGGTGGATAACTGTTGGAATGGTTTGGGAAGATTGTTGTGTGTATTTTCTGAGATCTCCTAATTCTTGTGTTTTTGGGTCTGGTGCTGTGGATTTTATTAAGTTCAGTTCCTAATATTTTGGGGGTACAGGGGGGTCTGAGGGAAGTGTAATAATCGAGGGTTTTGTACAAATACACTGACAACTAAAAGCAGCTGTCTTCTCTGTAGACCGCACAAGACATGGTTTTACAACACTTTCAGCTTACCACACAACATTATTAAAAATAGCTTTTTACAAAGTGAACAACTCACATGATTTTAATTTGGATGATCTTTATTATATTGTCCATCTTTTGGATGGGGCCAAACTTAACGGACAACTAGTTGTAAGCTATAGCATTTTTTAAGTACACATCAAAGACCAAAAGAGAGAAAATTTAACATCAGTATTATTACGAGGATAATTTTCTTAAAATACAAAATTGGTTGAAACTGGTCCATATAGAATGTGATGACTGTATATAATCAAAAGCAATGGTAAAATCTATTCTTTAATGTACTAAGGACAGAACATTTTATCATGTTCATGTTAATGATAAATTTCATACACGGTAGAATTTGAATGCTTAGTAATAGTAAACACATTAAAAATAAGTTTCATAGGGAAACCATAAAAAACCAGGTATAGTTTCAATAAAATGGAAACCAGTTAATGAGAAGAAGGGTTAGATGATAAAACAATTGATTGGCCTGTAATATTTTGAAATTTTATATTCCAACGAACAGCTCCATTTTGATAATACTGTACAGATATTTGGACAATTTATGCAATACATTCTTGAGACTAATGCTGGTAAAATTTCGAATGGTATGTAAGTATAAGTTTTAAAGAAAAAAATGTTTAATAGAGCTTAACCATTTTCTAGTTTCTTTAACCGCTCAGATTATTAAGGACCACTTTTGTTTTCCGAATATTTTTTTCGGGAATACTATTTCAAATTTATACGGAATTCGTACGGAATTTGTAATACATTTTTGAAACCAATTCGGAATAGAATATAATATTAGCCATACATAATAACACAATACCTTCCTTAAAAATATAAAAACGTAAAAATACTCGTACAATTAAAAAATTGTTGTACAACATTGTGTATTCAGAATGGCCTACCTATATAAAAATCTACACATGTTGACAAGTCGCTGCAGTTTTAATCGTTGTAAGAGTCACAAATGACCAGATTGTTGGTGGCATGTTTGGCCACTTGGTCACGTGGCCTGCACGCGTGCTGCCACCCGCCACGGCACGCTTCTCTCCCCCTCTCTCCTTCCACCCCATTGGTGTTTGTTGACTTACCTGTTCGATGAAATCTATGTTTCAACTCTTTCATTTACCATTTTCACTTTCCAGTTCTTAGTGCACTGTCCGTGTTGTGACCATCATAGTGTTGTTTTATAATTGATAAAAATTATATTTTGTTCTTTACAAAAACATTGAATAATCGTGTAATCTTAATAATTATTAGTTCACATAATAGATCAATCTGATTGTGCTGTAGATACACTAAATTGTGCTCCTTACACAAAGAGGTTGATTTTTTAATATGGAATTTTACAGTAATTTTTGCTAGAAAAATGTAAACTTCATAACAAAAGTTTTGAAATAATTAATGATTTGATTTAACTCTTGGTTCATATTTTCTAGCGTTATCGGAACGTGCAGATTTCTACTAATGTAATCTTATATAATCAAAAACAATAACAACAATAATAATGACAGTACGGTAATAGTGTTGAATGATAGTTCAAAATTAATAATGAGATAATTCTCAGAGTATCCACTTGTTAACAACTAGTAAGAATTTGTTTACGAAGATTTACAGTAGATATAGCCTTGACAGACCTTACACAGTCAATGTAGGCGGTTGAATTTTGGAGATGACTTTTAGTTTTTCTGGAAAAAAATATTTTCGTCTACTCATTTGAACGAATTGTCTCTAGCCCAAAGATGAACAACAATTTGACTGAAGGTGTGAGATGAATTTTAGCTTGCCCCGAAGATTATTGTAACGCAATCCGGAATGTAAGGTAAATGTATTTGAGTATTTAGTACTTAAGTATTTTTGTCAGGGCAACGAAGCTGTCGTCTTCATTGGGCACTGGACAGTTTACCTGGACTTGATAACTAGTTCTTTCTTTTAATGTTGAGCTTTTCTGGAGTCAACAGACTAAGCACATTTCTATATTTTCTGTTATAATCCATGACATGTTTTAAAGATTATAGACTTACCATTGACTATTATTTTACACAAACATTACATAGATAAATTTGAATATTGTCTATGTGCGTATTTATATTTGAATTTTTTTAAATTCTTCGGTGGTTAACAAACTTAGCACATGTGTCCATGTTTTTCGTTGTTATAATATGTAGTTTTTTATTGTGTACTGTTTGTACAAGGCCTACGTATATTTCAGAATATTTTCAAAAAGTAAAAATCGTATCTTATAGTACAAGTGATGCCAAATTATCCACACCACAGTGCCATGTCCACACCCTCATCCACTCACACACACACACACACACCCAGCAGCAGGTGTACCACACGGCTGTATGATTTTCAATTTCCTCAGCCAAAGCCTCTGGTTATGAAATATGACACCCTTATCTCTTATCGTGGTGGAAATCCTCTTTGGCCCGGGCCATGATCAATTAAACAATTAAAAGAATAGGCTCTAATCCCGGCGATGTTATCCTCTCCTGCTCTAGTCTGGCGTGAACCGTTGTCAATGTGGCCTGTGGGGGTAGCTTGTAGGGGAGGGTTCCATTCTCCCCGCAGCTGGACTCTCCCAGGTTCAACCACTTGTCGTACACCCGTGACTAGGAAGTAGTGGGTACAGCTGACCAAGGAGCCATAGACTTTGTAAACATATTTTGGCGAGACATGGCTCAGTCGGTGCTCTTAGTAGTGAATCCACAGTAACAGCTTCACAGATTCTGTGTCTTAGTTTATAATTAATGGCAAACGAGTTTAAAAAACGTAAAACCAAAACGCACCGATTCAAACAATCATGAATGATTAGAGTTTTGGAGATGAATTACATCTCTATTCACGCCTTGATCCGTTTGGCATTAAAAATTATTTTAAACACTGAAATTGTGGAATTAAATGGTTATTGTTGGTTGAGAAGTAAATCATCATTTTGAAACATTGTTTGTTGACGGTAATGAATAAAAATTCATAAACCTACTATCCTTATCCTTAGAATTGGCATTTTGAGGTTACATTTTACGTTCTGAAAGAAAGAATACGAATAATTTATTGATATTCCATGAAAACATATCAATAACATTATTTGCATAACTTAGACGCTTAAAACAATCCAAAGCAGAGCCGGAGTTGATACAGCAACGGTTATAGAATCTTTTTTTCTATAATCATTGACATAGTTTTAGAATAAATAATCCATGATAAAAGGTTAGATTAAAATGAACCTACCTCATAGTTATGGAAAATATTATATTTAATTTCTTTGTATCAGCTGTCTGAAATTGTAAAATATGCAGTTTAGCAGTTCTTCTTGTTTACATTTAAATGTCAAAGCAAATGTAAACAAACATTATTAGTGTTCTAATCGCAGCCATGGAGACCAATCAATATTTACTTTTAAAATCTTCACCTCAGAACGTTTAAAGCCAAAGGGGCAAAGCCTACGGTCAGTATCGAAATGTGAATAGTCCTATAATAGTCCTAGGTATGGTAGCTATATTTTTGTAAAATTTAAGCCCAGTTGGTTCAGTAGTTTTTGCACCTATTAGTAACACACATACAGACAGACACCATTAGATTTGTATATAATAGTATAGACACGTATATTATTAACTATTAGTGAAAGACATGGTGGGGCTCATGGTGTTAAATGTGACATTAAGTGTGATATGTTAAATGGAACATCTTTTCGTGCACCCAAAATTCCTATTGCAATATCTGAAATTAATCATTCAGAATTCATTTTATGGCTTATTATTATCCATTACAAACCTTTTCTAAAACTAAACTTCAATTATATTTGATCGTATATCCTGCATAACATACGAGTATATCAGACATGTTATTACGTGCTCACACCTTTCTAATAAGACTATTTTAAGAAATTGTCTTAGAAAGATATTTGATTTGATGAATATAATATTGATTGCATTAAGATTCAACCAATAATATATTCTATGACAATTTGGATGTTATAAGGAAGCATTCCTTAGGAAATAAACAACACAATATTATGTCATTCGAAATTTATTGTACAACCTATATCTTACAAGGCTAGCTCTAAACATAGGAATTGTTACCAAATCTACTATAAATTTCTGCTTTGATTCAAAGGTTTTCGGTTAAAATAAATAATTGAACTTATTGCTTCTTTAGGCACCCAAATGCTAGTCCACCATTCGCTGTTCACGAATGCGATCTGGAAAAAATCATATGGTTATATTCATCAGGAAGTAGTTGGAATCGGAATATTTAAATTAGCCTATATGTTATAGTTTTTTTATTTTTTTATTTTAGGTTTTTTATTTTTTATTTCATGTATGCTGGTTTTGGATTTGTAGTTCTTACATGAATCTGAAATGTTCTCTGATATTTAGCTAATCTTCCTGTGGTTTATTTATGTAATTTAGTAACAACGAACAATTTTGTCACTACAAATTTTTGAGTTTGTGATAGATATGTTGGTTTAATGTGTATCTTTGAGATATTTCTCTGTTATTTTTTTTCAACATGTTTTCCATGTATTTTATTCGGTAAAATCATGCAATTATTTTATATTCATGTACATTTTCTTGGACACAGATTTGAAATGAAGAAATAAACACACATTTGATGTATATTAATAAGTAATTAATTATATTTAATGATAAATTGTTTTTCGGGTCTTAAAAATTAGTTCTAAGCTAGATATTAGGCTGCATAATAATAATTCCATGTTATATACCGGTATATAAACGTACGCAAAAAGGCAGAAATGAAAGTAACTACGAATGTAAAGACACATTTCACAGGTGGGTTAGTCAGCTTTAATTGACAATTTGTAGATAGTTGTTATAGTGTAGTATCTGCAGTTTTAAACTAATTTAATGAGAAAAAATAGTACACAGATTCAAAAAATAAAATTCCTTCCAAAACACAAAAAATCCCTCGAACTGAACTTAGTTATCTTAAAATTTCCAACAATCTCTTCCCTCTTTAACAGAACTCTGTGCTGTGTAAATTACAGGCCAGAAGTATGAGATAAGAACGATGATAAAAGAAGAATTTATTGCAAGGGTTGAGATCTAGATAAGGTCACGTGATGGCTGAGAACGTACCACATTAATCTACATAGGTTACTGAACTACGGTCGCTAGTAATACTGTTAGTTATGTCCATTTCACTTTCTAAACTGTAGTGTTTTTATATAACAACAGTAATAAAGTCCCAAAAGCTGGCCAAGCGACGAAAACGTATTTGTTTAAGTTTTCTGCTGTGTACCATTGTAATGAAATAAATGAGTTTTACATTATTTTGTTATTGCATCACGTATTGAGTCATTTCGACTTGAACACACCAAAGTGATGTTTGGTAAAAATGAAATTTTCTGTTACCTAATTTGACTTTAAAATATTTCTTGGCAGGACGTTGCTTATATTGTTCTAACTTTGACTATTCAATAGTCAATGGTTCTATTATATTACTTCATCTATGGTTCTACGCTGGACATTCTTTTCGTCAAAACATGTCAATTCAAAGCAAAGATATTTACTGCAGAATCAAATAAACGTTACAGCAATCTTGTTACATGTAGAATACTCTTATTAGACATATAGATACCATATTAGACAACAATATTAGACACCAAGTATAACAATTCATCCAAAAAATAATGAGCAAAAAACCAACAATAATTAACCAAGAGCCACGGCGTTCGTGAAATACTACTGTAATACTTTGAATTTCATTATTTGACAGTTAATTAATGTTATTTGAAATTTTTTTTCAGATAGTTTCCTTAAAGATTGGTTAAACCAAGTTTCCATGACGTTTCGAAATCTGGCATCGGATGGTATCTTCGTAGCTGAGGAAGTACCTTTACTGCCCAAAATACATTTGACACAAAACTCAACACTATCAACCTCTCACTACTTTTAATTTACCCTCTACCCCTGTTTGATATTCCGTCCGAATTTATTCAAACCCCACCGAAAAGAACCACTTGTGCCACTAGAGCGCATCACGGACCACCACAATGGAAATTAATATTTTTCGAATGAACCCTTTCCGATTTGTAATGAACCCTGGTAGGACAATAGACTGACAAGATAATGAAATACGCCTGCGTCAGTGGTGTAAGAGGGTAGGGGCCTTCGAGTGGGGGGATCAGTTGTGGGTGGGGGGGGGGGGGGGTTGGAAAATATGCTACGCTAAATTGAGATTAAATGATTGTATGATCGCGACCGCCAGCTGAAGCGGGCATTGTGTTTGGTGTGTCAAGTCAAAATGTGGGGGTCCTGACCAAGGGGGGGGGGTGCACCTTGCGTTCTATCCCCCCCCCCCGCTGCACGCGCCCTTTAATTATGCGTATTGTTGGTACACTGCGGCCCGCCGGCGATACGTCATACGTTGCCAAAATCTGAGACGCAATGTGAGAATTTATGCACCTGTTGTACACGTTTGGAAACATTAAAAGAAATTTGAGATTTTCGGCTAGTTTTTGTAAAATTGTTGGTAATTTTCAAAAGGTGTTTACGATTTTTTCAAGACGTTGCAGGTTTACACCTGCTATATAAATTTTGTATAGCTCGAGGGAAATATAATTATCTATACAAGAGAAGATACAATAATATAAGTTTCTTATGCATTCTTATCTTATTTTTATCCATTGAGTGTTTAACTTTTTCCATATTTATGAAGGCTTTTAAAATGGAGGTTGTTGAATCTTGAGGTAAATCTTTTGGATTTAACCATGGACAAGAAATGTCCGAACTCATTGAAATGTTAATTAGCGGAAGACAACTGTAAGGCATGCTTCTTTCTGGAATATTTTTGTTGTTTATTACTTATCGATGGATATTTTACCAGGGTTAAAACTATTGTATCCAAGTACAGTAAACATTAATCGTTTGACGTATGGTATTACAGCCAAGGAGAAAATGGTTCACTATAAACTGCTCCATCCTTAAAAATATGTAGATAGTAAATTGAATTAGTTAAACGGCAAGTTCTCCAAAGTGTAAGGTTGTTGTGGTTAGTTGATAGTGTGAGCTAACAAGTGAATCAGCAGGTCGATCCTGACATCACGAACACGCTAACTTCTACAGTCTGATCACAGGTTAAAATATACAGTACATCCCAATAAATCACGCGGTCACCCGAAAACTTTGACGTTTCACAATATTCCCAGACCTAATACATCCTAAACGAAAACAAATTGACTCACTATTAAGCAAAATGATTTATTATTTGATTATTTATTTATGTTTTTTGAGGCAACTCATTCTTTTGGGTTTCGTTAATCTTTGCGAATATTGGGTTTAATATTAATAACCCATTACATTAAGTTAAATTTTCTTTGATCAATTTCGGGTTTGATTCTGAGCTACGTCTCCCATAATTAATTTAGGCGAACCTCAAAGGTAACTATTACGTTTGCCAACCTAAAAAAATCGAATGAATTTGTTTAAAAATATAGCAAAGGAAGTTTTAACGTCATGGGCATACCAGAGACTAGAACAGACTTAGTAGTGACTTAAAAAATGAACAATGTTGGTGCAGAAGAGCTTTGTTTCCAAAAGTAATGGAGTGTGTGAAATGTTTTCTACGTTATATTCAAACAGTAATAGTATGGAATAAACCTTGCTGGCCAAATCTGAAGGTAACAAATTAAATTAATTTACTATAGCATGTCAATTAATAACGCCAACAAAAACAATATTGACGTTAGTAACAAGACGAGGGTACGAACCATTCCCTTGCAAAAAACTTACTAAAACACAAAAGATATATTTTTTAAATCTATTTATATTCGCCATTTATAATTTACATCACAGCCACAATCTCTGTACCCCTGTCTACTGCAGAACTACATAGGCCATGTACCAACACCTGGTGGGGGTCGAGCTTTGTTTGTAGATTACGCGACTGTTTGTTCGCGGGGATAAAAAGCGGATTGGTTTAATCTGCCCTCGATTGACCCGGGCGTCTAGTTAGCAAGGGGTGGGCGGGGGTGGGTGACGACAAATTAAACTTTAAAAATCGTTTTTGTTAAATACATAAATTTGTTGGTTAGTTTTCATAAGTTATGTCAGTTAAGATTTGGATGACAAGTGGTTTTGATACTCCCGTAAAAACCAATTCGATGTAAATGATTCGTCTAAAACGGCAAATTTGCTTTTCCTAGTCTTATTAAGAATTGGGATAAAAATATTTACTTCATGTGGTCCATAATTATACTAGAAGACTGAATTAAAATTATGCGATTAAATTTGAGTAATGTTGTCACGTAAATCAACATAACCTTTATTTATGTCATCAATGTGACTGAAATAGGATAAAATTGGACATAGTGCTATACGTATGTTTCTCATGGTAAATGTTTACGCAAAATGTATCTGGAACAAAGTACCAGCATGAAGAACAACTACATTATCTATTGTTCTTTGCCTTATTCAAATTACCTGCGAAATATTAGTTCATCCCTCCACGCAACCAGTGGCCGTGCATCAAAATAGTTTGAATATAAAATTTAATGCGTATTTATCATATTGACTTATCCACATACGAACGCACATACGGAAAAATCGAAGTATTTACTCAAAGCTTCAACATAAGTAGATACTAATCAATAGTTCGATTATGGCAAATTAACCAATTTTGATCTATTTTAAAACACACCGCATCAACTGCAAGTTGTAAATCCACCACTCTATTAAACGTAATTCCACACCTGAAAACGATTACGCAAAACCGCACCGATAAGAGAGTTGGGCGCAACAATGGCGATTGATAAGGCTGCATTGTTGACGGGAGATGATGAAGATATCGGTCAGATGGAGGGATGGGGTGGGGGGGGGGGGGTGGGTGGGAGAACACAGGTGGTGGATGTGTACTCAGCCGACGGTCCCGGGGCCGCAGTTCTGGCGCCCATTATCTCCCGCCAAAAGTAACATCCCCTCGCACTAGACACTGTAGCCGAGTATTTCCGCGCGTTGTGTCAACATTTCGAGGCTAAGTACTCTGTCAGTCTGTGCTCGAGTGAGTCACCCGGATCTGATGCCGGTTTTGATGGATTTGGTACTAATGGGGTGACAACTGGGACTAGGTTCAGATTGGTGCTCCTTAGGTTAATAGGTTAGGTTGTGTTTAAGCAAGGGTAACGAAACTTAGCAACTGTTTTGGGTGTTGCACTATGGATAATGTACGCTGTTGAGATAG